AGCACCTGGCACGACGGGGCCCTGATCCCAGCTGGGGCAGGGCCTGTCTCTCGCTGTGTGTCTGGGCAGCACCTGGCACGACGGGGCCCTGATCCCAGCTGGGGCAGGGCCTGTCTCTCGCCGTGTGTCTGGGCAGCGCCGATCTCAGCTGGGGCAGGGACCGTCTCCCCCAGATCAGGTCAGCAGGGAGTTGGGGGGCACCTGCTGTCACCTCAGTTCCTGCCACACGCATTCGGTCTCGCCTCCTCTCCAGCCGCTGCGTCCCCAGAGGGCTGACGTCCCTTGGTGTAATTAAAGGGCGAACCCTCCCGTCCCCTGATTCATCCCCCTCCCTATGACATTGCCGCACCCCCATTTCCACTCCCCGCCCGTCCAGCTGCCACGGCCAGCCACCGGATCAGGGCCTGCTTAAGAGCCCTCTAGAATCTGGGTCCACCCCCCATGGCCAAGTCCCTCACAGTCTGTATCCTCCCACCGCCCCGGGAGGCAGGGCGAGGCTGTGACCGCTTCCCCCCTCCCCTCGCCTTGGGCAGATGGGGAAACTGAGGCAGGGAGTGGCCAGAGGTCAGGGCGCACAGGTGCCAGGGGAGGGCTGCGTTCACGTGACCCTGGCCCGACCCCTCGGTTATTCCTCCACTCCCCCCACGCGCTGTCCTCCTTCGGCCCCCAACTTCCTTCCCTCCAGCCACGCCCCTCACAGCCCTGGCCCCGCCCCCTCCCCCTGGGGGTTCTAACCCCGCCCCGGCTCCGCCCCCACTTCCCCCTGGACGTTCTAACCCCGCCCCGTCTACGCTCCCGCTTCCCCCTGGACGTTCTAACCCCGCCCCGGCTCCGCCCCCGCTTCCTCCTGGACGTTCTGGCTCCGCCTCCGTTTCCTTCTGGGCCTTCTGATCCCGCCCCTTTCCCCGCCCTGGCTCCTCCCCCATTTCCTCCTGAACGTTCTGACCACGCCCTCTCTGGCGTTGGTTTCCGGGTCGGTCGCCCCACGCACGGCTCCCGGGCCGTAAAGTGAGGCCAGCGGGGAGCGAAGGAGTGAGTGAGATGGGGGCGAGGGCCAGAGCTGGGGGGAGGCGTGGGGAGCTGGGCGGTATTTGGGAACAGCGGGCGGGGGGGGAATACAGGAGCACGTGGGGCTGGAGGGGGCTGGCGGAGGGAGAGGTATGTTGGGGGACGGGCGGCAGAGGGTGGGGGTCACGTGGGAGATGGGGGGCCGGGGGAGGGAGAGATGTGTAGGGCGGAGGGGAACGTCTGGGGGGGGGGCATGAGATCAGGTGTGGGGGGGACTTGTGGGACCTAGAGGCGGGGGCCGGGGGATGCGGAAGAGAGGATGGGTGGGGAGGAAGGGGGAGTGGATGGGGCAGAGCTGGGGGTGCTGGAGCATGTGGGGCGGGGGGAGGACAGCAGAGCCCATGGGGTCTGGGAGGATCTGTAAGTTGGGGCATGCGGGGGGACAGGGGATCTGGAGGGTGGGAAATATCGGGGGCTGTAGGGATGGGGAATGGGGTGGAGGAGTGGGGAGATATGGAGACAGACATGTGGGGGTGGGATATATGGGGGCTAAGGGGTGGGGAATGGGGTGGAGGGCTGTGGGAGATATGGGATGGGGACATAGGGAGATGGTGGGCAGCTAGAGGGCTGTGGGCTTGGGACATATGGGGAGCTGTGGAGCTGGGCAATGGGGGGCGGCTGTGGAAGCCGCACGGAGGTCGGGGTCGCCTGAGGCTGGATCTAACCCCTCCCTGTTGGCAGGGGGCAGTGCCCGGGATGCTGGAGGAACTGCAGGGGGCAGACGAGGATGGAAGCCCCCTGGAGGCCGGGCAGGGGGCAGGCGAGGAGGGGAGCCCCCTACCTGGCGCCCCGGACCCCCCCCAGGGTAAGAAGATCATGCCGGGCATCGTGTACCTAGGGCACATCCCGCCCCGCTTCCGGCCCCGGCACGTCCGAAACCTGCTCAGCGTCCACGGGGAGGTCGGACGCATCTTCCTGCAGCCCGAGGGTGAGTCCACAGAGTGTGTGCGGGAGGGGTGGGGGGCTGGGCAGGGGGCGCTCTCCCCTGGCAGTCAGGGCTGGGCTCTGGGGGGCGCTGTGCTGCGGGGAGCATGGTAGAGGGCTGGGCAGGGGGCGCTCTCCTGGTTGTCAAGGCCGGGCGCTGGGGGGCACCGTGGGGCAGGGAGCAGGGTCGGGGGGGGCGCTCTCCCCTGGCAGTCAGGGCCGGGCTCTGGGGGGCACCGTGGGGCAGGGAGCAGGATGGGGGGCTGGGCAGGGGGCGCTCTGCCCTGGCAGTCGGGGCCGGGCACTTGAAGGGGCACAGGGGTATGTCAGTTACCCAGACATGCCCTGATCCTTTGCAGTCACTAAATCTCCTGTGGTGGTTTTCACCCAATATTTGGGGCGCGAACCCAGGCGTCCTGGCAAAATCCCATCTTCAGCTGGAATCGCTGGCTCTGGTTGCACTTCGGAGTCCCCCTCACTTCCTGGCTGAAAATATATCATGGTGTTATGTGCAGCTGTTCCCCGACTGCCCCGCCCCAGAGGTGGCTGCATCTCAGCGCCGGGCGGGCCTGTGGCTGGAAGGGGGTTGCGAGGGGTATGGCAGGGGCTGATCTCTCCGTCCCCCCAGAGCGGTTCGTCCGGCAGAGGAAGAAGAAAGCTGGCGCCAAGGCCAAGAACTACACTGAGGGCTGGGTGGAGTTCAGGGACAAGCGCGTGGCGAAGCTCGTGGCCGCCAGTCTGCACAACACGCCCATGGGCACCCGCCGGCGCAGCCGCTTCCACTACGACCTGTGGAACATCAAGGTACCGGCTCTGGGAGGGGAGTGGGGTCTAGTGGTTAGAGCGGCGGGGCTGGGAGCCAGGACTCCTGGGTTCCTTCCCCGGTTCTGGGCAGGGAGTGGGGTCTGGTGGTTAGAGCAGGGGCGCTGGGAGCCAGGACTCCTGGGTTCTCTCCCCGGCTCTGGGAGGGGAGTGGGGGCTGGTGGGTTAGAGCACAGGGGGACTGGGGGCCAGGATTCCTGGGTTCCCTCCTGGCCCTGGGTGGGGAGCGGGGTCCAGCCGGTCAGAGGCAGTGAGGGTCCGTCTGTCCCCGCAGTACCTGCACCGGTTCAGGTGGCCGCACCTGAGCGAGCGCCTGGCCTACGAGCGGCAGGTCCGGCAGCAGCGCCTGCGGGCCGAGATCTCCCAGGCCAAGCGAGAGACCGGCTTCTACCTGCGCAGCGTGGAGACCAGCCAGCGCTTCGCCCGCCGGGCCGCCGCCGCCCCTGCCGGTGCCGAGGAGAAGAGCTGGGGCTTCGTCCAGCGCCCCACGGAGGAGGAGATCCAGCGGCGCAAGGCAGGCGCGGGCGGGCGCCGGCTCCGTGGGCAGCTGGCCAAGGCCCGGGAGATCCAGTTGAAATCCCAGACCAGCCGCTCCTTGCTGGCCAAGATCTTCAATGCCGCGGACGCTGCCTCGGAGGAGGCACCAGGGGGGCCGGATCTGTAGTGAGAACCCCGGGCGCTGGGGGGCGCTGTGCTCCGGGGAGTGGGGCAGGGGGCTGGGCCGGGGACGCTCTCCCCTGGCAGTCAAGGCTGGACACTGCTGGCCGCCGTGCGGTAGGAAATGGGGTCGGGGGGGCTTTAGGGTTCTCTCCC